TTATTTAATTAAGAATAGTAACCTAATTTAAATGGTAAAAACCTATGTTGAGGTGGTTATAGGTTATGAATTCAATTGCCTTAAACCACACGATTTACTTTTATTGTGTGACAATATAGATAATTTTAGTATCATCACAGTTTAGGTTGTAAATGATATGAGACAGATCGTGAGTTATTCGAGATCGACTCGATCAAGGCTCAATAAATACTCGAGCTCGAATTCGACCTGAGTTCTTAACGAGCCGAAATGAGCTATTCGATATTCGACTCGAAAAGCTCGTGAGCAACTCGAAAATATAATATATTAAGATTTTATTTTTTTTAAAAATAAATTATTAATAATATTAATATTTATGTATTGATTTTTTTTAAAAATATAGTAAGATTTCATGCATTTAAGGTTTATGTTCGAGTTTGAGGCTTCAATTGAGTTAAGTTTAATAATTTTTTTTTCATTTCTAGCCTTTTCGAGCTGCTCGCGAGTTTCAGTTCAGGATTTCGAGTTCTATTCGAGTTTAAAAATTTTAAGTTCGCGAGTTTTCGAGTCGAGTCGAGGTCCATTTCAGAGTTTTCGAGTCGAGTTCAACAATACTCGAACTCGACTCGGCTCGTTTACACCCCTACATCACACCTAGGACAACCTAATATTAAAATTAGATCACACAATATAAGATTATCAATAAATTATTTAATATAGAATCACTAAGAACACTTATTATAATAAAATATAATAATTGAAACCATCCATATTTTAAAAATCTTCAAATAAATTAAAATTTTATTATATCTCAAACTCTGATCACAAATATGACCATTGAAATCGCCCGCATTTAAAAAAAAAATCAAATAATTTAAGATTTCATTATATCTCAAAATTTGATCATTTAAAACAATCAAGTGAATATTCATAGAAATCAATATATTTCTCAAATTTTGTACCCTAATCAAGTGAATGTCAGATTTCATTAAATAAGATATGAATGGCTGACTTTGGATATCAAACAAACAGCTATAGTATACCATGAATTAGTTATCTAAACATATGTGTATATATATATATATATATTCAAGCACTCCACCTAAGTGTCAGACAAAGCATAAGGACAAAATAAGAAATCATTTACTCGTCTGTAGTAATAAAATTGGATGAGATCGTATCTCATGATATAGCAACAAGAGACGCACTTTGTTTTCTTGTTTCGGAAGATAATGTGATTTTAGTTTGGAGCACTTTGTGCTCTAGGTGTTATATGGTGGGTGAGTTTTCTGCGTTAGTAGAATGTTCGTGTTAGGGCAGAGCTTCTAGAGATCTTTTTCGCTGTTTCGCTATGGCCCTCGATGGATTCTGGTGTTTTAGAGTTGTTCGTAGTCTCGCTTCTTTACTGTTTGGTTGACGTTGTTAGGGCTCAGATCATAGTATAACAACCTTTGATAGGCATATGCTCATATGTCTTATGTCTCGGAGGTTGTATCATGGTTTTGTTCGTTGTTTTGGATGGGTGTAGTTCTTCTTTGTGTTTCATTCAGGGGTAGTGTGTAGCTACATTGTTGTAGTTTGTGTTTCGGGCTGTTTGAGTGGTGTGTTCCCGGTTGTTGGTCTTGTTGTTCCTGGGTTCATGTTGGATATTCTTCCATCTCAAGGTTCACTCTTTTTCCTCTAATTAAGATTAGAGAGGTTTTTTAATGAGGTCCTTGGGGTGGTGTACTTTGTGATTTCTAATACAAAGTAACCATTTTTCAACAAAAAAAAAAGATATGCATAACAATAGCGATTATCAAATTATAATCGAGCCTTTTTGCAGACCACTAGAGGGCTCAACTTGTAGAAACATTTCGCGTCGTCCGCATTGTCTTATACATTTTAAAACACTTAGGTTGGTTCATAAATATAAACACTTCCCACACTTGGTGTCCTATAAATGTGAGATATAAGCCTTTTATTCTCCCAACATAATTCACAAGTACCTTACGTAGAACATCAATTTTTTATTCATTACTCAACTATTTTGGGCATATACTATACTGTTTTAGAGGTCTAGTGAAATAAAATATAAAAAAATAATTTTATGACTCGTATCTCCACTTTTTGTCATTGAAAATATACTTCAAAGTTTCTAAAATTTAATTTTTTTCAACAACAAGCATTCTACCAAGGGATGGACCTACATTGTAGGTGGGAGCGACAATTTTCCTTCCCAAACTTTGATGATTTATTTGTTTGTAGGTTTCTAATATTTTTAAAATCGTTATATTTAAGTTATTGTCTCTTTCAAAGTTTTATTGTTTAATTACTTTTAGGATCTTTTTAGTTTTTTGATCTCTAATTTTTCTGGTTTAATTACTCTTTAAAACCCTTTCATTTTGGAATTAGTGAAATTAACTATAAATTCTTTAAATTTTATGGTTTATTTCAATTTAAAAACCTTATTTGTTTCTAAATTAAACAACCTGCCCCTTCATAGTTTAATCTTGAATAACTCTACCAATATACCTTTCTCGGATAATTTCAATATATATATATATAAATGAATGGATTGTGATGGCATAGTTCTTTAAAAGTCTAAAAAAATCTTTTAAAATACCTAAAATTATGTTGAACCCTCATACTTTAAACCCTCCTTAATTTATCTAGTGTTATGCCTCAAACTCTTCTTAACACCTTAAGTTGTGATGCCCAATTAGAAAAGATTTTATATGGATCGACTGACAACTACATATATATCTCTTAATAAAATTCTTTTAGTAATTTCATGTACTTTTATAAAGTAATCAAAAGACTTGAACTGTATGTCTCATTAGAAACTTCGCTAAATTTAAATGGAAAAAAATATACATAATGACAAGCGACTCAATAGAATATAACCCGTTCAGCGAACTTACACCGTTAGGACAAACTATAAGGGTGCGTTTGGTTCACGGAATGTAAGATTACTAGCAGGAATAAGATTACTGGGAATGTTGTATTTTGTGTTTGGTTCATTTAGCAGGAATGTAAGATTACAGTGTTTGGTTAAAGGAATAAAAGATTATTGGAATGTATATTTTACAAAATTGTCCTTATTATATATTTGTTTTTTTAACAAGTTGAATTCTACTATAATTTTATTATAATTAATTTATATATTTTCTTTAAAAAATTTAAATTCATAAAATTTATATAATTTTTGTTTACAAAATTGAAAAGATAAATAGGTTTATAATGAAAGTGTAAAATTTTATATTAACCCCTGAACTTCATAAAAATTATAATTATGAATTTTTTTGTAAATCTAAAATAATTTAATGATAAATTTGTAATTTAACCATCGTAGAATTTTTATTATTCAACGATAGAAGAATGATATTTTTTGGGGGAGAAATTAGGGGCATTTTAGTCCAAAATGCCGGTAATCTAACAATACCTAAGGAAAGAGGTAATTAAATTCTCAATAATATACCCCAAAATACCACTGTTAGGAATAAAGGATTACCGAGGGTTGTGAATGTTTGCCAACCAAACGGGAGAATGACATTCCATTCCCCCGGTAATCCAATATGACGCCAACCAAACGTCCCCTAAATCCTTTTTATAAACCTTTATCCCGTAGTTATAATCATCTTTGGAATGTATTTGCTTAATCAAAAGAAGTCTCAGTTATACCCAAATATTGACTTATTACCCCGAGTCAGATAAATGAATGGTAACTTCAAATCCTTTATATATCCTATCTTATATACTCTTTGAATTCTTGAATGAAGTACTTCCACATAATCTACTTCGATTAAATAGTTATCTCAACCGTATCTTACCAATGTGTTATCCTTCAGGTGGGCATGATGCATTCTAGATTGTCCTCTAGGGTACCACAAAGTTGTCTTAAAATCCTGTGTATCCCTCAATCATTGATTGAACATTATCAACTCATAAAATACCTCTAAAGTCTCATAAAACTTCATCGTTTTATATCTCTAAAGTCTCTCAATTAAAACCTACCGAACACAACAAGATAAATTGAGTCATCTCATAAAATTTTATTGCCTTGTAATTCTAAAGTCTTTCAATTAAAATCCACCAAACACAACAAGATCAACTGTGTTATCTCCTAAAACTTTATTGTCATATACCTCTAACGTCTCTCATTCAAAATCTACCAAATACAAGGTAAATGGAGTCTTAGAGATAACTCAAATACAACAAGGCAAATGGAGTCCTAGAGATAACTCAAAGTATGTGATAGTGTAAAAGTAAGTTTCACACACTATTTTGATAATTTCTTTGTTAATTTATGTTTATATTAAATTCTATATAGTATTGTTAGAGTTTACATGTATTTTTAAAAAATAAGTAAAAATTCTGATGAGTTTAACGAGCAACGAATTGAGTCGAGCAACGACTCAAGATGAACGAGTTTTTTAAACAAGTACAAATCGAACAAAATTTTATCGAACTTCTCGAGTATCAAGTCGAGTCAAGCTTGAATCGAATAATTTTCAAATCGAGTTAAATACTGCTCAGTTCGTGATCGACTCACTTAATAAGTACTCCCAATGCACACACAAGACAAAGTCTCTCCCTTAGACAAAATTTTATGGGAAAGTCTCATCATTCCTAGGCACTTCTTCATAACCTAGCTGGTTATCACGGACATGCTGAGAGTGAAGAACAAACTGATTTCTTAGTTGACCTAAAACGTATATTGTGCAAAAAGGGTTTGGAATGTATCCTATAGTCATGTGAATTGTCATTAAAAACTTAACGATGATATTGAATTTTCGTCTAATCATTTACACTTAAAACTTTACTGTTCCAAATATCGTCTTTTACCCGTGTTCTTTGTATACTAATATCAGTTTGGTTATTTTTTCACTCATAAATTTCTAATGTAGTTGAATCTTCTATAACATCTTTCCAAGACATTATGTAATGCAAGTTTTCGATGGAAACTTGGTTCATGAAATACTAAATAGTTCTGATCTTCTTATTCTCATCATGACTAATGCAATAAACATTTTTGCCAGTTTGGTCAAGATTCTTGAACGCTACCATGGACAAGAATCTGAGGCTTCAAAAGATGATACTGAAGCAGTAAGTAATCAAATGAACTGCTTATGCTTTTAACATGTTTCTCCTCCATATTTGCTAACTGACCTTTAATCATTTTTCCACAGGTCCTTTCACTTACAGAGCTACTTCATATGGTTCAAAGGTGAGTATTCGATTTCGAGACGTCTTTATTGAAGAAAAAAGATCATACAAGATCACCATATGCCTCACTAAAAAATCCCTTTATTTATAAAGGGAAAAAGAGCACATAATGATGATCAAAGATACAAAAGAGACGCTACCAAACAAAGACATAAACCTGCATTAACCCTAATTCCGAGGGCTTGTGAAGCCTAATTTGAATAAGATTAACACCAACTTCTTCTTTCTTTCCTATACCTAAATATTAGCGTAGTAGAAGTTATATATGACTAGTTTGACATAGTAGTATCTGTTGACAGTCGAGTAGAAGAACCAACTATTGAGCAGTTGAGCTTGATGGACCTTGAAAAACTAGAGATGCAGCTTGCTACGGCACTTCGCAGAACCAGAGCTAGAAAGGTTAGTATCCCACATCGAGGAAAACATGGCATATCATGATAGATATATTGTGTAAGCTAAGCCACGTAATCTTGTTCTAAGAAATCAGATCCTGCATTGGCCGCTTCTGCAAGTGAAATTTCACCTCTGATACTTGCATTGGCTCTGAATTTATAACCAACTTTTTAAGGCATTATGCTAAAAATACTCCTATTGTTTTGACTATAATCCCTTTTGGGTCCTATTCTTTTTTGTGGGTGCATTTAGGCCACAAATGTTTCATTTTAGACAAAATCATTAGTCAACAAATGATGAACGTTTTAAAATAGGGTTTTTTGGCCTTAAAATGACACGGTGAGGCCAAAATGATCTAAAAAATCAGGGTTAAAGTAACTATTTAATAAAATATTATGGGTTTTTACCCTATAATGAAATCTTGGGATCAAAATGTTCCAAAATATGGACTAAAATAACTATTTAGTGTGAAAGTTAAGGTATTTTGGCATTATGCCTTTCATAAAAACAATAGCACTCAAGTCTAGCTCCATATAGTAATGAAGTCTTTTACCACCACTTACCATGGTCCTCATTCACAATTATGATCTCAGAGACCAAATCTAAATCCTAAAACATTAGGAAATTGGCATGTTTAGAGAATCTTAAAGATGATTGCCTACCAGGAAATCCACTTGAATACCCTAAGTCACTTACAGGTTAGGCTTGCTTCTGAATAAGAGACTGAATGGATAAATCTGAAAAGTGATTACTTAAGACCTAAACATCATTAACTTCAAGTCACTTTTATGTACTAATTTATGTGAAATCTTTAGTTAGATAAGAACGCTTTCGTAACAGAGACGGACGTAAGATTTTATGTTAGGGACGAACTTAAACTTTTAAAATTTCAGCTGCTTCCATGTGATATGGAAAGCTATTCATTTTCTTAGATGATAAAGTTTTTATTGCAGACACAGCTGATGCTGGAGACCATTTTGTTCCGCCAAGAAAAGGTATGCAACCATTGTGGCTATACTGAGAATTTAGCTATGCATCTATTGGCTTTACCTGAACTGTGAAGAACATCCCTGTTGGGTTTTTACTAGGTTTTTGAATAGTAATGGATGTTTTAACTGTAGTAAATAAGCTGTTTAGAATCAGCATGTTAGAAAATTTGAACCATGTAGGACCATTTCTTCCCATTTTATCACTCTTCTTAGAAAACGTAGAGGAACATACGTGTACATACCAAGCGACTTCGGTGGTAAAAAAATTGTTGTTATTCATTAAAGTCACGGGTTCGGACATTAGGAACAATAGAGATGTGAGCATTCAAGTGTAAAATGATTGAGAATTATCGTTGAACATATACTACTTTATACTTATCCAGATTAATAAAAAAAAACTAACTTAGAAGGCATGGCAAGGAAGAGATAGTAGACCCTGAACTAGAGAAAAATTGAAGCACACACGTAATAAAGAGACAACATAGTTAGGAGTGTAAATAAAAACTGTTAGATGTATTGTTCGTGAACCGTTTGTATAAGGGTCATTTATATTCATTCATTAAACTAAATAAACTAGTATGAGCAAAATATTTATGTTCATTTAATAAACGAACAACACGAATAGATGTGTGTTTGATTCGTTTATATTCACGAATAAATTCGTTTTAAAACTAGTTTATTTACTCCTCCATCAACTCGCTTATAAGCTTATTTACCATATTCTCTTTTTTCTTTTATTATTTTACTTTTTAAATATTGGTGAAGGTATGAATTAAATTGAACACTATTGAGTTACGTGATTTAAACTATGAAATTTAAGAAGTTTAATGACCTCTAACGTAGTTTATCATTTTTCTTTTGTCTACAAATGGAAAAGTAAAAAGAAAGGATAACAAGAGAGAATTGATTATGGAATAGACTCAAACCATATAAATTAACATATTCGTGAGTACTAAATGAATATGTTCGTAAATATTAAACGAATATATTCACAAATACTAAACGAATTGAATATAAACGTTGTCAAAAATAAATAAATGAACATAAATACAATTTTATTTGTTCAAGTCCGGTTTATTTACATCCCTAAGCATAGTACACTTTTTCCTTGTATTTGGTTTGCTCTAATCCATGTCAATCCACTCGTACGCAGGAAAAGTTTATGACAGCGGAAAATGAACTTCTAGAAAGAGAGGTATATTTTGTACAAAATATCTAGACCTAGTCTCCATGCTCGGTCCAACTCATTAATAATCGTTAAAACAAACGAACAAACAAATAATGTAATTTTGCTGTAACTTGCAGATTGCAGCAATGGAGAAGAATGAAGAATACAGGAGCGAAATGGGGATAGGGTTGATGAGCAACACAGAAAATCATCGTCTTCCCCAGATGCAAACCCTTACGCTGCTTACATGATAAGGTTGTAATCAAGCATCTCAAGTCAGTTGTGCAGCTAAACCTCTGTTATCCAGTTGAATCCGTTGGCTTCACTTTCTTTCTAATTCTGCATCTGACGAATATATTATGTTGGATGATGAGTAAAACAAAATGCAATGCGAAATGAATGAATGAATAAACGTGATTCGCATTACGATCGTATTTTTAGTTGCAATCATGTTTTCGATCATGTTGCGTTTGATTATAAACGTAATAAACATTATTACGATAATTATGAGTATCATGATCATGCAATAATAATTGAGAAAATAACCTCAGTGACCAAAAATCTCATATAATATACAATTTTAACCAACTTTTTCCGGATTTGCCAAAATGACCAACAAAATCGTAATGCGATCGCTAATTCGTAACGCGATCTCCATTATCGCAAATTCGCGTTGCATTTTCGCAATGCGATAGTTGAAAATCGCGTTGCGATGGTCTACAGTATCGTTGCGATTTTCCCAATTCGCAATGCGAATAAGTAAATCGCAACGCGAATTGGGAAAATCGCAATGCGAATAAGTAAATCACAACGCGAATTGGGAAAATCGCAATGCGATACTGACTATCGCAATGCGATAATAAAAAATCGCAACGAGATACTTACTTTCGCAACGCGATACTGACTTTCGCAACGCGATACTGACTTTCGCAACGCGATAATACATAATCGCAATGCGATTTTCAAAACGCCATTAGTATCCTGGCCAAGTATTTTATTTTTAAATTCCAAACACGAATATTAATATATTGGAACACTGAACTGTCCACAGTATATCCTGTAATCGCAACTCATAACCTAAAACCTAAAATCACAACTCAGTCCCATCTCTATCTCTCACTCTCTCACCCATCTCCGACGAAATCCGTCCCCATCTCCGGCGAAATCCGTCTATCTCCATCTCTCAGAGCCACCATCACAATCAGAAATGGAAAATCAACCAAATCAACCAACGAGGGTTAGTTTTTTTAATTATTTTCTTTTTTGAAATTTTTGCATTATTATTAGGTTTTTCATATTGAAATTGATGATAAGTTTACTGGTAATTTCAATAATAGATTAACCATTTCACTTAGATTGCTTATTAAATCAACCGAGAATCGCAACGCGAAATGCAAATCGCAACGCGATTTTAGTTTCGCGTTGCGATTCTCTCGTTGCGATAGTCGAATTCGCGTTGCGATTTTCATTTTCGTGTTGCGATTTTCATTTTCAGAAACTATTCTTCTTCTGCAAATTGAAACTTGAATGAATTGCATTACTTCAACCAAAAACAAAGACAAATACGAAATTCACAGTGTTGCATATTTAAGTTTGAAGAATAAACTACTACTATTATGTTTATTATTGTTTTTGGTATATCTTCACAGTGTAGTTTTTGGTATATCTAATTTAGTATGTTTATTGTTTTTGTAGAACTTTTATTCGGCTCAATTGACCTTGAGAAATAAAGTCAGCCTGGCCAAAACAATTGCGTCGAAGCTTTCACCTGCACAAAGAAAAATGTTTGAGGATACATGCTTCGGGCCATGGCTGAAAGTACAACATCCCGGTGGAGATGCGATGTTGACACACCTGTTTCTTCAAACCATGACTAGCGATCTACCAGAGACTATACAACGTCGTGATGAAGAGATATGGTTTGATTTTCCACCGGCGTATACGTGTTTTGGGCGGGAGGAGTTTTGCTTAATCACCGGTCTACGCTTCGGACACGATGATGTAGGTCGGTACACTAGACACATTACCCGCCCATCATGGCTATCCCGGGTTTTTCCTGAGTGGAGAGGCCGAGTCTACACGTAGAAGACCTGACAAGATTTTTGAATAATAAAGATGGTTTTACTCGGATGGATGACGTCGACGTTGTCCGAGTATGCCTTCTAATTCTTTTGCATGCCGGCTTTTTAGGCAGAGAGGCCAGACAACCTATTCCAAATGATCTAATCAAATTGGTAGAAGACCTAAATGCGTGGAACCTGTTTCCGTGGGGCTCGTATTTATGGAAAGCTACATGGAATAAGTTATCGTCTGCCTTGGATGATCGAAAAAGTTTGCATGGCGATGGTTCCAAATACACTTTGACAGGCTTTATTTGGGCCTTTAAGGTAAGAATTTTTATATGATGTTTCCAAAATTATAAGTAATTATTTAACAATTACTAATGTTTGTTATTATATTGTTTGTAGATTTGGATATTTGAGGCCTTTCCCGCCATGAAGACATATGCAATAAAAACTTCAAATGATAATCCCAGGGCTATTTCCTGGAAGAGGAAACGGACCTTGCAATGGGAAGATTTACTACGGTATACGACAATAAATAATGTAAGTTAACATAAATACTACCATATGTTTATAAACAAGTTATTACTAGTACACGTTTAACTTTGTTTGAGCTTTTATATTGTTAGGAGGCCAACACTCCTCTACAGAGGCTGACACCCACGGAAGCTGAGCTAGCCACTGATTGGTGGCAAGCTAGTAAGCGTTTTTTTGATGGAACGGTTGATGAGCAGCCTCCACTTCGGGAGCCATCACCTCGCCCAGAGCTATCACCTCACCCAGAGCCATCATCTGATCGACCCGGCTATACACCTCCACAACGACAACCATCACCTATTCTGTCACATCATCGAGCCTCTTCTCCACCATCACCGCAAGATAGGCGACCGGCAAAGATGCCACGATGTTTATCTCCCTGTTCTCCACCTCCACCTCAACGGGATGAGTTAGGGGAGTTACTTGATGAGGTCAATGCCTTGCGTGAGGAGGTCGGTACTTTACGCAAAGACGATGGTGCATGGCGTGTTGAGGTGTCTACATTACGCGGTGAGGTAGCCGCTCTACGTGAGATGGTAGCATCGTTGCATAATGAGGTTCATACTCTACGCAACGAGGTAAGTTTAAGATTTTTCATACTCGTAATTCATTCGGTTGCTGCCAATACTGCTAAACTGTTTTTGTTAGTATTTGTTTTTGGTTTTGTTTTTGTCTTTTGGTTGAAGTAATGCAATCCATTCAAGTTTCAATTTGCAGAAGAAGAATAGTTTACTTTCGCAACACGAAAATGACTATCGCAACGCGGAAATGGCTATCGCAATGCGAAATGAAAATCGCAACGACAAAATCGCAATGCGAAATGAAATCGCAACGATAAAATCGCAACGCGAAATGAAAATCGCAATGCGATTTGTGTTTCGCGTTGCGATTTCATTTCGCGTTGCGATTTTCATTTCGCATTGCGATAGCCATTTCCGCGTTGCGATAGTCATTTCGCGTTGCGATTTTAAGTTTCGTGTTGCGAAAGTAAACTATTCTTCTTCTGGAATGTTTATATATGTTGTCCTTTTAAATGTTTATATAAGTGCTTACTTCTGGAATGTTATCTGAGCATTTTGTGAACTATGATAGAATAATGATTTGGGTGAATACAATGCTAGTTTGAAACATATTTGTCTTTGTTTAATATCATGTCTGTTTATTTACTGATTTATGTATTAATTTTTTTTAGTGGCCCGATAAGGTGGATGCTTTACGTCGGGTTTTCCTTGCACGACGGAGTTCACGCATCAGACGGCGTGGACGTGCTATTACGTCTCCGTTCACCCCAATGGTGCGAAGACTCTGCAAGAAGAAGCCCGACTCACCGGTCATCCCTCAAGAGTCCCCTCCAATCGTTCAAGAGGCCCCTATTCTCCCTCAAGATTCCCCCCCCCCACCGTTCAAGAGGCCACTGTCATCGTTGAAGAGGTCCCTCCCACCATTCCAGAGCCCGATTCACATGGGGTAATATATCAAAGTATTGAGAAACCCCCACCGGTTCCGGACATGATGGATGAGAGTTGGCTCTCGTATGAGTTACCGGCTAGTACCCTTCCGGTATCTGAAGTGGAGAGGAGACAACTATCGGAAACAATTGTGGATAATACCCATTGGGCTAAGACCGCAGTTGATTTTTATCTACATGAGTGGAGCCAAGGGTGTTACACTGACATCAGCAAACTCAACGATGAAATGTTTTTCTTGCTTGATCGGTCTTGGTGGGGTGTGCTATTAGGGGTTGAAGACAGTGGCTATTTGGATGGGGAGGTAAGTCTTATATTTGTCTTATATATGATTTTGATTAATTTGTTTAAAAATTAATGTAATTCACTAATATATGTATTTTTTTGTAAAACAGCATATCGATGCGTGGGTGTCACGTCTACTAATAATAAGGAAGCTTAGGAAAAATAAAAAAAATTCGCTATATACAATAATGCCGACGGCTTTTCACGCAGTTCACTTGAAGAATCAACGAGATGAATCATTTTTGTTGGGCAATGGACAAGCTAAACTTTATCCTGCATGGTGGGAGGTCGATAAGGTTAGTGTTTATTTTTTTAAATTTTTTAAAGGTGTTCATAAATAAGTGCGCAAATAAATGAATTATTACTTATGATCGCAGGTGTTTATCCCTGTTTTGGAACGTCGTCACTGGCTTCTCGTCCAACTTCAGCTCCCATCCCTGAAGATAATAGTGTATGACAGCATGATCAATTACATATCACTATCTGATTTGAGAGATATTTTCAAGGGATGGAGCTCTCATTTGGCTAAATCCTTGGATGGGATTAAGTATTGGAGTCATTCTGGACACAAGAAGCCAAAGAAGTTCAATGTCACAGTTGTCAGAGACGAGACCGCGCCACAGTAATCGCCGGGAGCCAGAGGGGATTGTGGTCCTCTTGTATGCCTTTGCTTGGCGCGTTTGACGACGGGAAGCACAGAGTTTTTACCTCCCACCGATAGAGATAGAGTTGCAGTAGGCTTGTGGTTTCGGCATTATATGGCTAGAGTAATATATTCGAGACGCTGCCTACCTGCATCCGCGTTATGAAAGTGTCCATTGTTAATTGGTAAGTCAAATGCAAGTTTTGTTAACATATATACTCCTTTTGGTTTGAAAATGTTTGGTTAAGTACCTAGAATTCAATAATTTGCTGTTTGTAGGTTTTAGATGTGTAGGAAGTCTTGTTTGAGCAAATGTTTGGTTTCTGCAGGTTAATCCTTAAGTGAGCTGCGTGAAATGGATGTACGGGGTCACAAAGTTGTTGATTCATTGATTCAATAATTGATGAAGAAATAAGAATTATTATTATTATTTGATTGTT